CCATTATGATTACAGGATAACATGTACTTCTACACACCGTACAAAGAAGAAATTTTCTGCGCAATGTTTCTCTCTAGGCCTACACACAATTTACGTGTACTGAGCCCATAATCTGATATTAAATAAAGGTAATAAACTTTTTAATTGAAATATAACGTAGTTTCTCAATTTCATTGCACACTAAGTAGTACAAGTGATTACCGTGGTGGTTCAAACACGAGAGAGCCGTTAGCGGAAAGCAATTCTGTCTTAACAAATAATTTGCGCTTGCGCATTGTACCATTAGAAAAGTTCCGGAACGGTCGATATCGAGAGATCGCTTATAAGACAACTCTTGATCATGGTCTGTCCTCCCGTTTGCTTCATATAAGCACACACACACGCACGCATGCACGCACGCACGCACGCACGAACACATACAAGGTCGCTCTTATAAAACACAAATAATCGAATTTTTAAAAAACTTGAAAAAATCAACTAATTAATATTGCAAATGCTTCTTTGAATATCTTAAAAAGCAAAAATAAGCAAAAATACTTATTTCGAGGGAAATATACTATAAATCGAAGAGGTGTAAATCTGATTGTGCAACCTCCACGTGGTACATTGTGAGTAATGCTAACGCCGGCAGTACTTAAATTTTGAAATCTTATAACTCAGAAAGATCTCAACTAAAAAGGTTTGTAATCAGTGTTTTGTAAACAACTTGACGTCAGAATATAAAAGAATATGAAATAAAAAGTAAGGGTTCCTATTTAAAAAATTCAAGTTGACCTTGACATGACCTTCACGACGCCATTCAAGGTCAATCGCATATACCCAAGTAATGCATTACTTGATTACCAACAACTTTTGTTTGAAACATTTTTTAAAATAACCACTTCCTTCGTTTTTAAATGGGGTATACGGGTGGTCTGAAACACTCTGTATATATATATATATATATATATATATATACACGCATATACAGAGTGTATATTATAGAATATACATTAACACGTATATATATATGTATATATATACAGAGTGTCTTAAAAATTTTGACCAAGCCGAAGTAGTAAGGTAGATTGCGTAAATCTGAACAGAAAAGTTGTATACCATTTTGCAAACTTTGCAATGGTTATTGAGTAGTTAATTAATAAATGTGACTTAAATAAGGACAGAAAAAGATAGTCTAGACTCTGTAGGCGTATATGCTTATCAGGTGTAAAGAAAGATGGCTTATTTCATTTAATGTTCTAGCAACGAGAGACAGAGTAAACAAGCAAGCGCAACGTGTGACGTGTGGCAGTTTCTTGCGATCAGCTGCTATTAAGCGATACAGAGAAAACAGGAATAAGAAGGCTTCTTGCTCGCGATTATGTGATTCTTATGGCGGTGTAATGCAGCGAACAGCGGCAAGCGACACAGAAAAAGCGTGTGATACAGAAAACTAAGATAGACATCTACTTGTCCGATTAATAGTAATGTTTTTCGTGACAGAAGAAAATAAAAGCGCTATTGTTTGTGGAAAGTAATCTTTTCAACTGCTTTACCGCCAAATATCAGCTGATCGCAAAAAGCTGTCACACGCCACACGTCACACGTCGCGCTTGCTTGTTTATTCCGTCTCTCATTGCATGAAGAAAGCCATCTTTCATCGAAGCTGATAAGCGTACGCCTACAGAGTCCAGACCATTGCTTCTCGCGCGTTTGTTGGTTTCCATTTATTAATTAACTATTCAATACCTATTGCGAATTTTGCAAAATGATATATAACTTTTCTATTCAAATTAACGTATTCTACCTTCACACTTCGGCTTGGTCACAATTTTTGAGACACCCTGTATACATATATGTATGTATATATATATGTATACATATACAGGGTGTCCCATTTTAAATTACGCACCTGAATATCTCGTCAGGGAAGCCACCAATCCGAAAATACCCTTTACAAAAGTTGTTGGGTTCGGAAGGGGACATCAGATGGTAATTTTTAATTTTACCTTGACCTTGATTTTCAAGGTCATTTGAAGGTCAAGTCAAAGTTTTTAAATAGAAACGCTTATTTTTGACCCCGGATTCGGAAAAAGCGCAAAATTTTACGTTTAGATGAGTACTTGAGGCTCTTNTTTGGAATGACCTTTAGAGGTTATTTCAAGGACAAAATATTTGAAATTACACACCTGAATACATATCTTGTCGGGGAGCCACCAAGGCTTTTGTTGTACACTTTTATTCATTTGCGATGTTCTATGTACAGATCTTAATAAGCTATGCTCTGTCGAGCAGAGCCTTCGGCCGCAACACGTCTCAGGTAATTCCGTCGGTGCATGCTCCGACACCAGCTTTTATGCCTCAGCTAATCACTCGTGATTGGCTAAAGAAAACCAGGCAACATCCGGTCCCAAGAAGTGCAATGCAAACCATTGCATCTTTTTGACCGCACGTGCAACCTTCGACCGGCGCGTCCTTGGTCGCGCGGTCGCACATCGCTTCGCAACTGCTGACTGGACATCCGTGCCGGATTCCAGTCTCTTCAGAACGTAAAACTACACCTACTAACTAAAACCCAAGTCTAAACAATACATTACATATCTACATAACGTACAATAACATAAGCTTGACTTATAACACTGCCTACGAGAGATTTTAAAGTAATTGTCGGACACTCTGTGTATATATATAATAAGAAGGAAGTGGCAAATACGAGGCAAAAACCAGATCTTTGGGTCAACAAACTTCTTTAGTTGAAAAAAGTTTTAAAGAACGTTTTGACCCCAAATTTGGGCCTTCTTTAGTGTTCAAAATTCGTAGATATAGGAAGAACTCAGTCTATCAGCCGTGTATAGCCGCTACCAAAATATAATACCAACGTTTCGGAGATGACATCCCGAAAAACAACGCAAACTAGTAACTAGTCTGTCGACAGAGGCTGCGTTCCGAGTTACGCATATACGCGCATTTATCTATACTATACGTGACGTGTACTATAGATAAATGTGCGCATATGCGTAACTCGGAAGACAGCCAGACTGTCGGTGACTGTCGCGCTAGTTATTAGTTCGCGTTGTTTTTTGGAATGTTATCTCCAAAACGTTGGTATTATATTTTGTTAGCTATACACGGCTGATAGACTGATTGTGAGTTCTTTTTATATCCACAAATTGTGAACATTGAGGAAAGCCCTAATTTGGGGTCAAAACGTTTGTTAAAAATGTTTTTAACTAAAGAAGTTTGTTGACCCGAAGATCTGGTTTTTGCTTTGTATTTGTCACTTCCCTCCCACACACACATTATAATATTTCACGTGGAAAAATAAAAAAGTTATATATATATATATATATATATATATATATATGTTTTTATAACTC